AGCAAATGGATTAGCTGTAGGAGTAAAATAAAGTGAATCGGCCGTGTACTTCTTTTCGCTATGAAATATGTTATTAAAGAATACATAAAAATGTATTATCAAATGAAAAAAGAATGTCATTCAGCTAGAGGAATATTTTTTAGGCACTTTAAATAAAGTCTAGAGAAGTTCAAGAGTTTTAGACAACTGAAGTTTATCACGACCATGAAAACGTCAGCATGCACATCAGAATTCTTCTAGCGCAAAACATTGTCCTAATGGGAGACCTTCATGGCGCTACTGATGATCTGGCCGAAGGAACCCTTCATCAACTGACACCGACAGTTCACTACTGAAAAGGCAATTACATTTAAAACAATGAAAATGCCCCCAAGCAATTCTGAGAGTTTATGTCCGCTTGCTAAACATATCAGGCAGAACGAACGGCAATCTACCACATACCAACAACTCCGCTGAGGCATGGCCTCGAGCATTTCAACACACAGTGTGCCGTAACCATCTGCCAGCTTACAAGCTAAATGATCACTTTCGCAAGATCAGGAAACAGGATGTCACTGAAATTTTGATAAAACGGCTTTAGATCAGGGTATTAACATCAAACCAACCAAACCTTGATCCCAACATACGCTGACATAAAATTGTGGCTGGCTTTTTAGGGGGAATCGAACGTAATGTAAACTGCTGAACGTAATCGTACGATGCAAAATGATTATGCACAATACCCCTTGCCAAAGTCTACGAATTTCAGTGAGTGAATTGTAATAGTTCAGAATTGCGATTATTATCAAAAAACAATTAATACAATTTCACTTAATCCATTTCACATTTCGACACGGGATTGAAGCGGCGCAAGCACCTTGTCAATCCAGCATCGAAAACTGAAATGGATTATACACCTTAGCGGCGTATGCTAGTAAACCCATAAGATTGGATTTTATTTTTCTGCACAATTTCACTTACTTTTAACTTTAGTGCATTTGTCGAATTGCAGCATAATACATTTTACAAAGCAGGCCGAAAATGTCTTGCTATAGAAATACCAAACTTCAGGGCATGCACGCTTATTGGGTACTCCTGGAGTCACCCACAGTGGTTGTTACATGAGAGGAGTCAAGGATCGGCCATTACAGAACTACATGCTGAAAGATAACGCCATGGAACGGACAATCAGGAACTATGTAAAATGACCAGTTCGGCACTGCGTGGATGACTCTCGCCTTGATGTATAGTGACAAAGAGTTTATGCGAACGTTGTGTACTTGCTTTTTGCACTGTAAATCATTTCCATGTCTCAGAGGCGTTGCGCTGATCCGATGTCATCCATACATATCAAATCTTTGGGACCCTGAGGAACGACCCAGAAAGAGAGCAAACTGTTGCAACCAATCGAGAAACGAGCAGCATAGTGAGAGCCTGCAAAACGTAGAGACAATGGTATCCGAGATATAACCCATAAACTGAAAAATTCTATATGAAGCATGAATCAGACTTATATCAACATCATTGACACCCATGCTTCAAACCCGTTCAGCTTCGTGTCACATTGTAAATAAAAGCCAAACCTCGATTCAGCAATTAAGTAGAGCTTGATGAACTGCAAACTGTAATCCCAAAAAGCAGCCACGAGTCTATCTTCACATTGTTTCAGAATAGACATGATTCCGATAGCAAATGGCATTGAATCGATCGCATCCGGCTTTCTGCCCTTTCCGTAATCTAAACTAAACTTTAGGTAAAACGTCATAACGTATCACAGCTGAATAAGATGAAACATTTGCCCGTAAATATGAAAAGATGACAAGTATATATTGTTCTAACCGGCGGATCGCAAGTCAACAGATCAGTGTTTAGTCAAATACGGTCATGCAGTTTTGTGCCCATGCACTACAGATGCAGCTATACTAACGAGGATCAGTGACCTGCGCAAATGGACCTTGGCTCCACTAGGTTGATGCAGTTACGCCATGTAAACCGAAAAAGCGACAGAGATGCATTCATTGACTGGTTCGGATGCTACGTACAACCAGAGCATGATTAACCTACACATATGCGTAAAGGTAGAGCAAGAGGTTTATCAGGTTGATAAATTCCTGCTTTATCGGCATCTTATTCTGTTCAAGCGCCGTATTTCTCAACGAATGATTTAGCCACAGTGGTTTCGTTTGCGGTACCGCAATGAAACGGAAAAATACCCTGCCCTGTTCTATCAGGGGATATATCAGTGAGCCAACTTCTGTTTCCAATGGTGACGGACACCGTAAAACTAGTTACCCGTACTACTAGTCAATGCCAACGCATGAACTTAGTGCCGAAAATAAACAAGGGGCTTCGTCTCAAGGGGAAAGAAACACAGCAGGACGGTTAAACAAATAAAACTGGAGAAATACCAGATCTACCAGTTCAATAGGGAATGAACGTACGTGAATCTCCTGCAAAACACCTAGAATTCAAGTGCCTTAAATGAACGAGACAAGATACGAATGAAGTCGACAGCAAAATAAAAATGTGACCTACAAAGGTTCGGCTCATCAAAGCCTCGACATATAAGCCACTAATTTGATTGTGAAACCTTTTTCTGGCTGTACCGTGGTTCCAATGTGAAATCTTTGGTTTGCAAGACCAGGACTGCGGTTTCATATTTCATAAATGTTTCAAGAATTCAAGTCAACAAAGATAGGCGTATGAAATGCTCTGTGATAAGAACACGTTCAGCAAACAAAACAAGAAGGTTCACTGAACAAGTACTAAGTCATACAGAACTGAGCAGTACTGCGAATATTCATATTAAGAGAGTCACAGTTGAAACATTTTCGTTACAGGAATACTAGAAAAATTAAGGGAATGTATGTTCTGTTGCTATGATCACACAAAAAGTATGCCTGAAGACTACGTAGACCAGATTATCAAAGCATTCATGATACCAAAGAGGAGGAAAAATGGATGACTAAGAACGAAGGCATGATGCTGTAACGAACAAGAGACAAGAGAAGCCTTTATTAAGAATTAGAGAACATGGAGGAATTTACTTATTAAAGGACTGGATATCACGCTATACCGTGCCTACTGATAACTCACGAAAAACCGAAACAAGGCAGACAGCAATTAGAAGGCCAGCATAAATAATGAAGGGACAAGTTTGAGGAAGATCTGCTAATGGAAACGAATATTTCCTATTACCTTATAGCAAAAGTGTTGGAAAGCTCTGAATAGAGCAGATATCAGAAATCGGAGACATCCTGCTGATGCAAATAACTCAAGATGATGACATCAACAATAAGCAAACTTCGAACTAGTTTCATTTAACATTGGCTTTATAGTAAAACTTTCGGTTCTGATCTCTGCCTCTCAACTTTTAGTCAGGGTAGAAACAATGGCATACGTCCCTTAAAAAATTTTTTGCACATACCATTAAAACAACATCAACAGGCGTTGAAATGTACCCAAAAAACTTAGGTTAATTTTTACAGTAGATCTGAACAGAAACAGCTGTCAAATGCAATAAATAACATAAATAATAACAAAGCACTTTTTGAGTGTTTTGGACTCTGTAATTGTGATTACAAAACGTAAAACAGACATGTTTCGTTACTAACACCGGCAACATTATCAGAACTAATCAATGTTAGGAAACGAAAACATGCAGACTGGTAGTAATATATTTCCATATCTGTTTTATGCTTGGATTTAGTAACCAATCATCAAGAAAATAGTACAGTAATGAGTTATTGGCCCAGAATAAATAAATGAATATATCCCAGCCAACTCATCTTACTGTAGCTGGATCACTCGCAATACTCTGCGTCGAAATGTAGCTTCTAGACTAGATGACTGCTTCGCACATTTGCTGTGGTCTTCACTGCATCGCAAGAGTAGAGAAGGGTGGGCTGATGATCAGAACGTGTTTATCAATGAATGGAAAGTTTACTGCTTGAATGATGTCGCCAAAGAATTCAATTTTTTCAGCGAAAAAACAAAATACTTGAGAATTATGTACATATCACAAGGCACAAAACAGAGTCGAACTCGAGCACTCGAGCCAAAAAAAGAATCTGAAACTACGAAGTAAAAATAATAGAGACAAAGACGAAGAAGGCGATATCACACTGAGCATATTCAAGTTTTGCTGTTTAACGTATATGGGGCTTCGTAGAATGGGAGCTGAAGCTGGGATTTTGGATCTTCCATACAGTTCTGTTCTAGCAAAAATATTAACATATATAGATATAGTGGATGAGGATGGCGAAAGACACTGAGAGAGGCTGCCATCAATGGATGACTGCTGTTCTGCAGGATGTCCTTATCCATGGGAGTGCAAAGAGAGATCACTAAATCAATTACATGCCTCAGTAGATTATGATGTGAAAGGCCGCTTATTCAAGAATCAAAAACACTTTCAAGAAAATTTTAAAAAGTCACACCTGCGATGGTTTGACCAATTGTTGCGAATGCCTTCATAAAGGAAGGCGAAGCAACTACCACTTACCCAACCTACCAGCCGAAGACCCCGGGGACAGCTTAAATTAACCTGGGTCGAGTGTATCGAAGGAGTGTGTTCTAGACTCCGGCTGTCTTCTACCGAACCTCAAACGCTGGCATAGTATCTGGAACACTGGAAACGCCATTTGATGCATCTACCTCTGCGACCCGAAAAGAGCACAGGTCATGGAAATTGAATTGAAGAAAATTTTAATAACAGATTATTAGTTATATAAAGTAACACAAACCCACTTTCAAAAAAAGACAGACGCGGCAAGGCGGAAAGAATAATCGAAAAGAGAAAAACGTCAAGCGAGAAAAACTCCGGCATTTCAGTGTAGATCTTAAAAATAAAACAGATTCAACAGAAAAACGACAATCAAACCCATACCTTTTCCATCGGATTTGTCATACCTGCAGATTCGGCATAAGCAGAAAGCTCAAAGAGAAGAGAACTGTCATATGAAAAACGAGAACATTCTGCATTTCTTGTGTCTCTCGAGAAATCCATTAAGACAGCTCTAAAAATATCGCTCTGCTAAACTTGGTAACAAAACGACATTGCAAAACTAACGACTTCTCTAAAGAGACTCTGTCGACTGAAAAGTCGCGAAACGGCGTGATTTCGTGTTTAGAAACACCAGAAACAAAAACTTCATTTAACATTGTTTAAAAAGCTGAATACAGAGAATCTGAAGAACAGATATGACCACCAGCAGCACTGCCAGGAAATTAAGAATGTGGCAATGTCGTCTGTAGCGACTGCCATGATTTTCTATGCACCCTTGCATACTCTACTTCCTTGGGGCAGGAGAAAAGAGAACGCGTTTATCGCGTCATAAAAAGTTAACTTCAGTCACTTATAATTATGTCTAAAATCTTGTCTTAGACTTACATCCAAGAACTTTCGTGGGCTTCTTTTCCCCTTTCATGCCTAACACTGTTGGTATTTATCAAAAATAGAGGCACATCTGAAATCTATGACCACATCAGCGTCGCAGATGGCAGTTATTTGCCGTTTTAAAGGTTCAGTCCTAACTAGGAGGCCACAGCCACGACTAAATAACATTACTCCGAAAAAGATCGGTAGGTTATGTGTTGTCATATGTTAGCAATTGGTGTCCCAGTGGAAAAACTCATCAATAAAATGTGCGATGCCTCGCTGCCTTGATCAGAAAGATTGCTCCGGTCACCGTGATTCGCCAGTTAACTCATCTGGGCCTCGCTGTGGTCATTGTGCGTAGAAATGAAATCGTTCAATCCCTCTGGATGGCGACCATATGGTCCTGTAAGATCTCGCGGTCCACTGGAAGGCAGCAGCCCTCTATCAGCGATCAGTGAAACAAGTTAAGCGTTCGGCTCATCGCATTTACGCCTCCCTTCTTTCCACGGATATCTTTCACTGTGGTTTGCTGTCTGATTAATGCGCCTGAGAAGTGGTCGCGGAGCAACATCCCAAACAACCCCATTTCCATGACTCTCAATAACAGAAAGGTGATATTCCATTACTTTGATCAGCAGCGTATTAACAGCTATAATTATCACTGCATTACTTTGTGTATAATATTGTATAATATATAAAATACGCAAAACAATTAGGATATTACAGAAATCGAAATGATAGACACCAAGATGTACACAGCAAAAATTACTAACGATGACGTACTGGCGTACTACCGTTAAGCAATATAGTGCAAACATTATGCCCTGCTTGACATAGAATAAAAACAGCGAAATCCCTCACACCTGCTTATAATATTTTATAAGTCGGAATAACTGCCTATTAAAGAGAATCGATATTGTTTGATCATTACTGCTGCTATATTTCACTCTGCGTAGGATCACGGAGCAGTGCTAATGATACCAGTTGACTAAGGCTTGAAACGCTACTGGATACGCAATAGAATTTTGTAAGGGATGTGTGCAGGAATCATGTATGCACTCGAAGTCGAAGGAGAGATATCTGAGTAGTTCCTTATTAAGTGTAGAGTTCGCCGCAGGTATGTGCCTTTGACTTCGTGATTCAACAATGTTTTCTACTTTTTTCTCTGTAACAGTGCTGACCCTGGCAAGACGAAAAGTCTATTTCTAGACAAAAGGTGCAGTTCAAGATGTCCGGCAAGTCGTCTAAGGATAGATACGCAGATGACGTTCTCATTAGTAGTACGGGGAATGGGCGTTGTCACCTGACGACTTCCGTATGCGATACGGCCATGAAAGTCAGCGTTTTAACTACCGTCCGGAAGTTAAAAGTTATGAGGAACCGATATAACAGTGCTGATGTACAAGTGGAACAGGGAGGTGACACTTTTCTGAACGCTGACCAGTTTAATATCCAGGCTGCAACTTTTCCAGGAATGGCAACATTCAGCCAGAGGAAAATAGAAGAAACACCGTCACTTCGAATGCTGTTGAAAACCTGTCCAATATATGGGTAGAGAAAGGAGTCTCTTTCCCCAAAAATTCGCTTGTACCTTGCCTCTGTCAGGTCAGTGTTGTTGAATGGCAAGGAGACGTTGTTCCGACGAAAAAGCGAGAAAGACGATTAAACTACGTACAGCAGTGTCGATTTCGACGCATAATAAAGGTTAAGCAGAAGGATCATGTAAGGAATGGAATCATGATTCCATTCTCTTCCAGTCACAAATGACTTAAGTAGATGCGAATATTAAGAAAACGAGGTTTATACCGTTAGACAAACTGGTTGAGCGCAACCATTTACTCCAGGCCGGGATATACTCAAGTAGGAGTCAAAAAACGGCAGACATCGACCAGGAGGCCAACATGCAATCTGGAAAAAAAGGTAGAAGTAGATATGCCTTCAGGTTGGAATATTTCCTTTTACTGTGCAGTAACCGGTGCCTTAAAGCAAAAGTGTTGAAAAGTTGAGAATTCAGCAGATATGATAAACTAAAGATGTTACTTATGCAAAGGACTCAAAGTGATGATTTTAACAAATATGCAAACAATTGTTCTGGCATTCATCGCGAGCTTCAAACTAATATAGTAGCGATGAGGCTTACAGAAAATATATTCGATCCTTCCTCATACTGATAAACGTTTGAAAAGATGAATTTTATACAGATCCACATACAACTGAATATGACGAAGGCTAGAGAAGAATAAAGTATGTTTTGACACTCATTAACAGAGATCAACACTTACTTATTTAAGGTTCGTAACATATCTTCGTACAAGCGTGAATTGATCTTGCACGACTTGTTCAGCACCCTCATCAGGTGTATTCGTATCACTTGCAGGTTACCGATCTAAAACGTAGCGTGATTGAAGCAAAACTTCAGAAATTAAATAACTACTTTCGAAATAGTTTCGTAAATGCCGAAGAAATGTCTTGAAGCCTTTCCAAATGCGGTGAGATAGTTTTTACAAAAGTGGTCTAAAAATTCCATGATCTGTTCGATGATCGAAACTAATGCAAAAACGAGTACCGAAGGCAGTAGGAGGAACACTCTGGATTGGGGTGATATTGTTCAGAAGATCAGTTAACTGTTGGTTGCCGACAACGCTGGTTACTATCATCTGTGAAAATTCCTTGAAATTGAGCAGAATCAAAAAAGAGTAGTATCGATCTAGTCCCCAAACGCCGACGTTGCCCAAAGCAGTCTAAATATGAATTAAGTAGCGAACACTAATTTAATGTTTACTCACCAAAAGAACTTCGAATGCCTGTTTCGCCGTCAGAACCTCCTTTTGAGATTTCGAATCGAACCATATGCCCAACTCGTGACAATAACACGTACTTCTACAAAGCATATTAAAGCCTGAATAATGAGCAGACTATAGAAGAAAATATAAATATTTGCGCGGTTGTGCAGGACGCCTGTTTGTCTGCTTTATCATGGAATGAGAAACAGATGCGGATGGGATTTTAAGCTGTTTTACCCAGAGTACTATGTGTATACCAAATGAAACTCAGAGATTACCATACCTCTCGAAGAAGGCAAACACCGAGATCACATGCTATGGCGAAATGCTGCGGCAGAACATCTTCCTGTTTGCAAGGGCAACCGTGGGGGCTTATACCAAACAGATAGTTGATTTTCTTATCATCATCAAAACCTTTGTCGATTCACTGCTGGACGAAGGCCTCTCCAAAGCTTTGCTCAGTTTACTGTGATCCAACGAACTTCTTCAGTTTATCCTGTCATCGATCTGCAGGTCTTTCTACGAGCCGATTACTCTGTCTTAAAACTCAGTCTAATGTCACTCTGGTGAAGTGATAATAGATTCCTTTTGCAGCGTGTCCTGTACACCGCCACTTAAACTTCTAAACTCGGGCAATGATATCACAAACTCTTGTTTATGTTCCTACTCATTCATTCCTCTTCGTATCATGTCATGGTATTACCAGCACATACGCCTTTACACGATGAGAGGCGTAGTCTGCAGGTTTATGAATAGCTTTTGAACGAAAAGACCATGCTTCGCATCGACACGCTAGCACCGGGAACACACTGATCGAAAACCTCAATTTCAAATTAACGGGTTAATAATAAGATAGATTTTACTGTATCAAGAAAAATTATTAGTCGATCATAAGGTGTGTGAATCACAGTCTCAGTTGTTGTCACTACTCTGACCGGTTGTCAACATATTTCCAGCACTTTTACAGCATAACTGTACTTCAGCCTCTCGCTGAATTCATGATCATAGCTTTTCATAGCTTCCTCGCTAAGAATATTTTTAAAAGGAAATACTACAGCTAAGATATCTTGCTGCTTCAATCCGCCTACCGGTTCCGTCACGAACTGCTTACAAACCTAGCGCATCGCGCGAACTCACTGACGCACGAAAAGTCACTGGGCGGCTGGTAGCGCGTCATTAGCATCATCGATGAATGCCCTGCATATACAGTGACTGCTTTCCACAAATTGCTATGATGAGTTCAGCCAAGTGAATGAATTACGCTACTTAATGAACGGTAAAAATTTCGCTAACATCGCATTAACTTCCACAGCTCACATCGATACTGTGCCGAGAATTACTTGACGCCAAGAGATGTTCTAATTCCACAGTTTGCAACACTGAAAAATTTTTTCCTCCTGCAAACCACGGTATCAGAAGACGTATTAGCTGCATCGCATTAATCTTATGCCAAGAATCCTGGTGTCATACGGAAATCGACTCGGAAATAGCTGCTCCTCTTGATTCTGTGTCATCACCATCGGTTTCATTCATCGAACTGTTAGACGAGACGCAGCAGACGCGTTTTTACTGGATTAA